GAGCTGAGCAATCATGCAGGTAAACACAGTGGAGCTGAGCGTGTTTCAAGCGTAGTCAAGTGCTCTTTCTCTGGTCTTACCTAAAGCCAGGGAGGTGAGGATGTGGAGTAGCTTCCCTGCAGACAGCCGGTTCCCGACGCGGCTGCAGTTACGTTGTGGATGATAAGCTGGCGTCGTTGTGCAGGGGCCCTGTGCGCTTGTGAGGAGGGGGCACGCGCGTGTGGGTCTCAGGGAAGGAAATCAGCCCTGCCTGCGCAGGGCTGGGCACCGGGCAGCAGTGCAGAGGACGTGGAATGATGGCTTTGGGGTCGATCCCTTCTCTGCTTTTCCACTCTCTTCCGTTTCCCCTGTAAAGACAGCACGCACCTGCAGACATCCCCGAGCTGCAGGAGTTAGTTACACATGAGCTGTTGTGTTAATGTGGCATGCACACGTGTGTGGTCCTCCTGGAGAAGCTCACAGAACAAAGTGATGAAAGCGTCCCGTTAGATTGTGCAGCTCTGGCTGAGGGCCGTTCCCTGGATGCATCATCCCCGTAGCTGCCCCCTGGGTCGCACGGTCCTCGCCTGGGGATGAGAAACCAAGAATGCAGGGAGGCCAGGACGGGCAGTGGCCACAGGCCCGCTGGCTCTCCAGCCCAGGCTCGGAGGGCTCGCCCCGCTGGCTCACGGGCAATGGAGGAATTTTGTTTTCCCTGAGAGCATTTTGAGAACCGCATTTCAAAATCTTGAGATTCCGAAGGTTGGAGTCCAGGTTTCAAAGTCCCCTGGAATCCGGGAGGCCTGGGGAGGTGCACCCTGATTTCCCCCGAGCGTGGCGCGTGGCTCTGCCAGGCTCGGGGACGGGCAGCCCGCATGGCACCGGCACCGTCCTGTGGAATAACGAGCAGGAACGCCCTGAGGTTTCCAGAATGTGCAGGAGGTTCATGCTCCAGGCAGGTGAGCCAGGACAGACGGGGCAGAGGGTGAGGCTCGCCAGGCTAGTGCCTGCTGGCCAGGAGGCCAGGCCGAGAGCCCAGACCCCACTCTCGCCTCTCCCCGCCTCCAACCAAGGCTCCGTTCTTCAGCCCTCATCGAAACCTGCTTTCTTCTCTACTAAAGAGCTAGTCTTTCATTTCACTCCAGCTTTAGTGGTGTGTGTGTGTGTTAAGAATAGAAAAAGTGAGTTATGTAGGCTTGTATCCGCCTGGAAGGATGCAGTCAATAAGTGTTCATTTTTGAGTGGTTTTTTTAAATTTGCGTGTCTTTTCTATCCTGTTTTTCCCCTGCAGAGATGAAGCCAGAGACAAAGCCAAGACTTAGTGGTCGGGGCCCTGAGATTCTCAGCGTGCGAAGGATCTACATCCAGACCCGGGAGGAGAAGCAGATCAACCTGACGGTGGGGAGCCGGGCTTACCTGCTGCCCAACACATCCGTGATCATCAGGTGCCCCGTGCGCCGATTCCAGAAGTCTCTGATCAGGTGGGAGAAGGGTGGCCGTTGTCTGCAGAGCTCCAGACAGCTGCGGGTGACAAAGTCAGGCTCCCTGAAGATCCCCCGGCTCGCAGCTGCCGACATCGGTGTGTACCGGTGCCTCGCGGGCCCGGCTCAGGAAACAGTGGTTCTCAAGCTTATCGGCACGGACAACCGGCTCGTGGCACACCCAGCTGTCCGAGAACATGCCCGGGACCCTTCCGGGGCGGACCCCGGGGAAGCCAATAGCTTGGGTGCCGTGTGGCAGAAAATGCAGCAACTGTGGAGTCTCAAAGATGAGCTTTACCCGCCCGATGGCCAGATGGACCGCCCGGCTTTCTTCTCGAGAGCTCTGTCGGGCCCCTGCAGCCGTGGTTCTCCAGGCAGCGGCGGTCCCGGCGGCGACGCCCCCTCAGGCCTTGAGCCCAGGCAGTTCGAAGCAGCGGCGCAGCAGGGAGCCCACAGCCTGGACATGGCCCAGTTTGAGGAGCTGATAAAGAACCTGAGTCGGCTGCTGGAGACAGGAGAGATCAGCAGGGATCTGGCGTCCCAGGTGATACACCAGCTGGCGGCCGAGCTGGTTCAGGTGCAGCCCGCACCCGTGCCCAAGAGCCGTGGGGACGAGGAGATCCTGAACACCCGGCCCGGAGACCCGGCAGGAGACGGACCCCCGAGCTCCGCGGGGCCCCGCCCGGGCAGGCGGCCCGTGCTCCTAAGGCAGACACAGCCCTCCGCCATCTCCTTCAATACAACCATCACCGCCCAGGTCGGAAACACCGTGTACATCACAAACAAGACGGAGACCATCCACATCCTGTGCGGCCTGCGGGTCCCCACCCACGCCACGTACACGTGGACTAAGGACGGGGAGCTGCTGCGGCCCACGGCAGGGTGAGTACAGAGCAGGGCTCTGGTCCGGCCTGGGCACGGCGGCCCCGGTTCTCCCCCAGACGCGCTCCGTCCCCCGGTCCTCCCCCAGACACGCTCCGTCCCCCGGTCCTCCCCCAGACGCGCTCCGTCCCCCAGAGAGTCCTCCCCCAGAGAGTCCTCCCCCAGACGCGCTCCATCCCCCAGAGAGTCCTCCCCCAGAGAGTCCTCCCCCAGACGCGCTCCGTCCCCCAGAGAGTCCTCCCCCAGAGAGTCCTCCCCCAGACTCACTCCGTCCCCCAGAGAGTCCTCCCCCAGAGAGTCCTCCCCCAGACGCGCTCCGTCCCCCGGTCCTCCCCCAGACGCGCTCCGTCCCCCGGTCCTCCCCCAGACGCGCTCCGTCCCCCGGTCCTCCCCCAGACGCGCTCCGTCCCCCGGTCCACTCAGACGAGGCTAGCGCCTGTCCTTTTCACATGTGCGCTGTGGCTGTTTTTAACCAAACATTGGATTTTTAATCCACAATTCACAGATCCCTACTTGGGTCCCAGTCACGAGCCTGTTGGTACGAGGCTGGGTATGGTTGAGTGTGCACCTGAGTGTATTTAGCTCCTCCCTTTGAACAGAATCCTCACCACAACGTCATCTGTGGGTCATTTTCTAAACGCTGGCTCACTGAGCTAAACAGCGTTTTCAATGCTACACGCCACATGGCGTTAAAATACTCGGGCTCACTGTGACCATCATGGAGGCATCTGGAGGAAACTCGAGTCGCAGCGGCTTGTGTCCTGGTGTTCTGGCGTGCCGATTTCCACCGTCAAGCCGCAGCGGTGTGTCCTGGTGTTCTGGCGTGCTGATTCCCGCCATGGGACGTGCTGGCTGCTCCCGCTCTGCCCGCGTGCGGGCTTCCTGCGTGTCTGTGGGGCAGGCCTGGCACTCACTGGGTTTCCTGCCTGTCTCACTGGCCACCCGGACTCTCTTGTTCTTGTCATTCACACATGGAGTTCCCCGAGGCTTCTGGAAACTTGCTGTGTAGAATTCATTGTGCTTAGCACTGAGGCGCATGGCTGTAAGATCTGGCCTTCCCCTTGATGTGTTCATAGTCCAGTAGGGATAGATATTTCATCAAATCAGCACATGAACTGAAGAAGAAGCCCGGAGGGGGTGAAGATGAAGTCGGGGACACCAGGGACATGACCTTTGATCTGGGACTCTGGTAGAACGGAGTTTCCACATCACGTGAAATGAGTGGCGTATGCAGAAGCTTGGGGGCTGAACGACTGGGAGGTGTTCTGGGGACAGCTGGAAGTTGATGGTGGCTGAAGCCCGGGGTGAGCGGCGGGAAGCGGCGGGAAGCGGCGGGAAGCGGCAGCGTGACTGAGCTCCACTCGTGAAGAAGGGCCGCGTTTAGAGTCCGCACAGGCCATGTCGTTTCACATGGAAATGGCGAAATAAATCACACACAGGACGTCCCCCTCTCCCCCCCAGAGTCAACGCACTATGGAAAAGTGAAATTAGAAGCAGAAGAAACACTCGCATTTCTCTGGATAATTGCCTGGTCAGCTCTGACTCTCAAAGTGCCAGACCTTTTGTGACCTTTTGAAGGATCGGGTCGGAGGGCTGCGGGGCGGGCTGTCTCTCCTGGCACGTAGCTTCCCACCCTCAGACCGAGTGTCCCTGCCTGTCGGCAGATCACAGAGCCGTCTCCGTCCTCCACAGCCCGCCGCCAGCCTCCCCAGCAACGGTGGGGATCACGCACTGTGGGTTTCTTTCAGGATAGTCGTGGATGGAGCCGGGAGGATACAGATCAGGAACCCAACCAGGAGGGAGCAGGGAATCTACCAGTGCTCCGTGGCCAGTCCTCTGGGCTCGGACGCGGGGAGCTCCTCTGTGCTCTGGGCAGGTAATGCCAGGAGGTCTAGCTCTGCTGCTTTTTCCCTGTTAAACTCTAGCACGACACTTCTCAGAGTTGAGTGTGCCCCAGTCTCCTGCCGGCTTGAGCCAGGTTGCTGGCGTCCACCCCAGGCGTCAGCCTTAGGAGGTTTGAGATGAAGGCCTTGAACCCATGCCTGGACCTCACTCTGGAGTCGGCTGGTTCAGGGCACACTGCAGGAGAATTGGGGGACGAGACAGGGGCTTAGGTGGTATACTCTTGATGTCATGGACTTTTAAAGTCTCACCAGCTGGGGAAAGAAAGTTGGCATCTGGTAGAGGTTGCTGCATCCGTCCATCCAATTCTACCAGCCGGCCCTTGGAATTCCTCCCCGAGGTCAAGACTTGACCTGGGAGCTGGCCGCCCTGTCCCCTCCCCGCGTGTCCCTGGGCAGGGGCCTTTGAGATGGCCATGCCAGGGCCGTGTTTCCCTGGGGTGGGCGGGTGTGCACTTAATTCACGCTGAGCCAGCAGAGGGAGGAGACGGCGGCACAGAGCCAGAGCTCTGTCCCCACTCCACTGTCCGCACCCGGGACTGAAGTCCCACGTGCCCCGAAACGCTCACAGCGGGGCGGGAGCAGGCCCTAGAGTGGGCACTGGGGAAAGATTTCCACTGAAGAGAGGCGTTTCCTCCCCCCTCCTGGAGGCAGAGACTGCAGGGCGCAGGGCCGGTCAGGGACCCTGCCCCTCGCTCTCCCGGGGCACAAAGGCTCATCCAGCACCTGGAGACCCTGCAGCTGCCAGCAGGACGTCTTTGCTTCTTCTGAACCACGTTCCTGCTTTTTTCAAACGATCCATCGAAGAGACCATTGTCCTTAATGTCAGTTATAAACCAAACCACTGCTTGTGTCTGGTGGCTGCAATGACCCTCAAAGCCCCGGTCCGTGCGCAGCCCCCTGGGTGGACGGCTGGCAGGGCTGGCGTGCACAGCCCCCTGGGCGGACGGCAGGCAGGACTGGCGTGCACAGCCCCCTGGGCGGACGGCTGGCAGGGCTGGCGTGCACAGCCCCCTGGGCGGACGGCTGGCAGGGCTGGCGTGCACAGCCCCCTGGGCGGACGGCAGGCAGGACTGGCGTGCACAGCCCCCTGGGCGGACGGCTGGCAGGGGCACAGCCCCCTGGGCGGACGGCTGGCAGGGCTGGCGTGCACAGCCCCCTGGGCGGACGGCTGGCAGGGCTGGCGTGCACAGCCCCCTGGGCGGATGGCTGGCAGGACTGGCATGCACAGCCCCTGGGTGGACGGCTGGCATGGACAGCCCCCTCAGGCTGCAGCCTAACGTGTCTCCTGCTCTCTTTGAATTAAGCGGCGCCTGTCATCTCCTCTGTTGAAAGAAACGTCACCAAACCAGAGCAAAGTCACCTCTCAGCCGTGGTGGGCAGTACCGTGGAGGCCGCCCCGGGGGCAGACGTGACCCTGCAGTGTCCCGTGGGAGGTGAGTGTGGCCCCCAGAGCCCCGTGGGAGGTGAATGAACGTGACCATGGCCTCAGGGGGGCACATGGCCAGCTGTCAGGTGATGACCACTGTCAGTAATGACCAGTCAGGAGATGGCCACTGTCAGTGATGACCATTGTCAGTCAGTGATGACCACTGTCAGTGATGACCATTGTCAGTCAGTGATGACCACCTTCAGGAGATGATCACTGTCAGTGATGACAATTGTCAGTGATGACCGCTGTCAGTGATGACCATCAGTGATGACCGCTATCAGAAGATGACCACTGTCAGTGATGACCGCTGTCAGTGATGACCTCTGTCAGTGATGACCGCTGTCAGTGATGACCTCTGTCAGTGATGACCGCTGTCAGTGATGATCGCTGTCAGTGATGACCGCTGCCATTTTCACTGTCTTCCCTCCGCCTGACGGCCCAGACACCTCCCTTTCAGTGCACTGATGTAGATGAACTCCCGGAGTGACTTCACAAAGCCTGGGAGCGAATGTGTACGACGAATGTCATCCTGGGTTCCAGTGTGCCCCCGACCGGCCTCAGCCGAGCGGCAGGACTGGATGCTGGGTGGGCAGGCCACCGGTGAGGGCCGCGTCCCTCGCTTGGACTGGATGCTGGGTGGGCAGGCCACCGGTGAGGGCCGCGTCCGTCGCTGGGTGGCGTAGTGTGTGAGGAGTCTGCGGGAGGAGTCCGCGGGAGGGGGCTTGTTGGAACTCTGAGCTGTGTCTTCCCGCTCAGCAAAGCCAGGGCTGGGTAGGGCCTGGGTAAGCATCTCCTCCCAGGCTCGGGCTGGGCCGCCGTTGGGGTCCTGCTGTCCGTCCCTCAGTGGGCCTCTCTCGTGTTTACAACTGGACAGATTTTCTGACAGACCCGTTCTTTTCTCTTCTTCCCGGTAGAGCTAGGGAGCAAAGCCAGGGCCTGTGTGCCACGCTGGTGCTAAACCTCCAGCCCCAGCCCTGGCCCTTCGGCTTCCCGCTTTCTTCCTCCTCTTTCTATTTCGTTAGGCTTCGGTTCTTACTTCCTGACCGGGCTTGGGGAAACGGTTCTTCTCATTTTGCAGGGTGGGGAGGTTGGGTGAATGGCTTTCTATCAGCTCCTTACAGACACTTAGAACTCAAAACGGAGCTCGTACATGCTGAGTGAGCTTCCGGTGTGCCTTCAGCCTCTGGACCGCGGTGTCCCACAGACCCCCGAGTTCTGACCAGCTGCTGAGGCTGCCACTGCCGCAGTGGGCGCTTCGACCAGGTGGCCGGCGTGTGAGAACCGAGGCCGCATCCCCCCTCGCTCCCCGCAGCCACGGCTCCGTGCCGTTGGCTCCACAGGCTGGACGCTGGCTAGTCCCCAGGGCGTGACTTCTCAGCCCCTGGAAGCCGACACGGACTTCTGGCAGATCTCTCCGGCCCCCGAAGGACCCCACCCACAGCGATGTGAATTTGGGGGCCAGGCCCACCCCCCTGCAGAGGCAGCCGAGGTAGCCCAAGAGCAGGTTCCCCACCAAGGCTTCCCGCTGGTGCCGCCGGGCACCACAGAGGACTCTAAACACAGACCGGATGTCTGCCATCTGCAGGAAGAAGCCTTCACCTGAACCTCCCTCCCCGTGGCTGGTCGAGCGTTTAGGGAGATGGCCATTGAGAGACTGGATCTGGGACTGGATTCGGTGGAGCCGTTCTTGGGGGCACAGCCTCCAGCAAAAATGACAGGCCCAGAAGCACCTGCTCCATCTCCTCAGCCAGGCCTGGGGGGGGGGGGCGGAGCCCTGCGCACCCTGAGCTCTTGCATTGCTGGTGGACAGCAGGGTGGTCTCCTCCTCATTGGCTTCCTTCCTCGTCCTCCTCCTCCTCTTTCTCATTTCCCCTCTGCTCTCTTCCCTCCCTCTTTCCTCCCTCCTCCTCCCCTTCTCATCTTCGCCCACTTTTTCCTCCCCTCTTCCTCCTCCTTCTTCCTTCTCTTTCTTCCTCCCCCTCCCTTTTTCTCTTTCCCCTCCCTCCTTTCTCTCCTCAAGTTGGGGGGTTGAGGTTGATCACCGCCCCCCAGCTTCAGCTCTTCTTGGACATGGTGCTACCAGGCTTGGCCTCACCTGGCCGCCGCCTCCCAGGGCCTCCCAGCCAGCTCCGGTGCATGCCGCCGCGTGGCGCGTGGAGCTGGGTGCCGCTCTGACCGGAGCTTTGGTGAAGGTTGTGTTTTCTCGTGGACAGCAACCACCCTCAGGGCCATTGCGTCCTGCTGAGGCCCGGCTTTCTGGGGACAGATGGTGACGTTATGAAGGCCGGGAAGCTGGTGTCTTAGAGACCGTCCTCCTCTGGACGGTGGCTCAGCACAGGTGCACGGCATTTCCCTCACCTGAGACCGGAGGCGCGGGGCACAGGGAGGTCTGGGGTCTGGGGCACAGGGAGGTCTGGGGCACAGGGAGGTCTGGAGCACAGGGAGGTCTGGGGCTCAGGGGGGTCTGGGGTCTGGAGCACAGGGAGGTCTGGGGTCTGGAGCACAGGGAGGTCTGGAGCACAGGGAGGTCTGGAGCACAGGGAGGTCTGGGGCTCAGGGAGGTCTGGAGTGTGGGGCACAGGGAAGCCTGGGGTGTGGGACACAGGGAGGGTCTTGGGCCCTCTGCCCAGGCCTCACTTCATAGACAAGCACCTGCCACACACTCACAAGGGCAGATGCCACCTTCTGAAAATCAGTGAAAATCAGTGTGTATAATTTAAAACCTTTCCACTAATGATAATAAACTTAAATTTATTGTTATCATAACAGTGATGTACAGAGGGTTACAGTCAGAGGTCAGATCTTTTCTCCCAATTTTCCCCTTTCATCCCCCCCCCACAGGTTGTATAATTTTCAACATTGCATCTAGTGAGTACCACTGCTGCGTTTGTTCACCCTTGTCCCTCCCAAAGACAGATAAATGAACAAACAGGGCAAAAATAGAATACAAACAGCCTCTGGCTTCCATTTCCTGAAGCTTATTGTGATAAATATTATTTTATATGGTGGGATGCACACTGGCACTGTCCTCTGTGATCCTCTCCTACAAACATCCTCTTTTGGTCTCACAGTGAGTGAATGCCTAGAGTCCCGTGTAATTTATTATGTCCTGCTGTATTTTAGATCTAGCTTTCACTTGAGAGAGAACATGTGTCATTTGTCTGAGCTTGGCTGAGCTCACTTAACATGATTTGTTCTAGTTCTGTCCGTCTCCCTGCGAATGACATAATAGTATTCTTTCTACTGGCTGTGTAAAATTCCATTGTGTATAGGTACCACATGTTTTGGATCCAATCTGTTGTAAGGCATCTGGGCTGTTTGCACAACTCGGCTGTTGTGAATAGTGCAGCAGTGAACATGGATGTGCAGGGGTCCTTGTTATATCCTGGCTCATGGTGCTTAGGGTAGATGTCCAGGAGTGGTGTGGCGGGGTCGTAGGGAAGGTCTGTTTAGATTTTTGAGGAACCTCCAGACTGCTGTCTGGAGTGGTTGCACTAGTTTACATTACCACCAGCAGGGCAGTAGATTCCTTTCCTCCACATCCTCACCAACATTTGTTGTTGGAATTCATGATGTCGGCTAATCTTACAGGGATGAGATGGAATCTCAGAGTTGTTCTGATTTGTGTTTCCTTTCTGGCCAAGGATGGTGAGCATTTCCTCATGTGTTTCTTTGCCATTCTTACCTCTTCTTCTGAGAAGTCTCTCTTTAGCTCCCTTGCCCATTTAGTGATTGGTTTATCAGCTGTGGGTGGAGTTGATTTCTTGAGCTCCTTGTATATGGGACAATAATTAGTTGGATTTTGTTTTTTGATCCAGTTTGTTGCTCTGTGTTTTGGTTGGGGAGTTGAGCTGTTGCTGTTTAACATTAGGATGGAGAAATGCTCATGTTTCTTGCCATTTTGTTGTTTTCCTGTAGTGTGCTTCTTTCCTCTTCTTTTTTTTTAAATTTTTAATTTTTTTATTATTAGTAAGTTTTTTATTGTGAAAATACCGTACAGAGGGGTTACAATTACATGGGCAAGGTAATGAGTACATTTCTTATCAAGCATTGTTGCCTCCTCCTTTGTTTCCCCTTCCCATCCCTTCCCATCTCCCCATTCTTAGGGCCCCCCCACACAGCTCATATTCATGTTTCAGACAAATTCATAATTTTTTGTTGTTATAGCTAAATACATTTTGCATAACCCATAAAGATGCCAATAGTGATTTTACTTTTACCTACTCTTAAAATACATTTCTAGAACTCTTATTGAATAATAGAACCTGAAAAGCTTGTCTGTTTCTGAAAGGTAAAAGTTCCAGATTTCTAAGATTGTGTGTCCTTCTCACTGTATGTTGAGTTCTGGGTGTGGGCTGGCAGCTGGTTGGCCCTGCCTATCTTGAAGGTGTAGTTATGTACTACCAAGGAGGAGGAAAGGGTGTGCACTTAACTCAGATGCCCCTCTGCTCTCTGCAGTGTCCTGTCTGCACCTGGACTGGAAGATGGCCTTTATCTGAGCCTGGTAGACAGTCAAGTGTTGTTGTTGAGTGTGGGTGAGGAGAGGAGTGTGGTGGACAGTCACATGGTTGTTGCCTGTGGGTGATGGAGTGTGGTGGACAGTCACATGGTTGTTGCCTGTGGGTGATGGAGTGTGGTGGACAGTCACACGGTTGTTGTTGAGTGTGGGTGATGGAGTGTGGTGGACAGTCACACGGTTGTTGTGATGGAGTGTGGTGGACAGTCACACGGTTGTTGAGTGTGGGTGATGGAGTGTGGTGGACAGTCACATGGTTGTTGTTGAGTGTGGGTGATGGAGTGTGGTGGACAGTCACACGGTTGTTGAGTGTGGGTGATGGAGTGTGGTGGACAGTCACATGGTTGTTGTTGAGTGTGGGTGATGGAGTGTGGTGGACAGTCACATGGTTGTTGCCTGTGGGTGATGGAGTGTGGTGGACAGTCACACGGTTGTTGTGAGTGTGGGTGATGGAGTGTGGTGGACAGTCACACGGTTGTTGTTGAGTGTGGGTGATGGAGTGTGGTGGACAGTGTTGTTGAGTGTGGGTGATGGAGTGTGGTGGACAGTCACACGGTTGTTGTTGAGTGTGGGTGATGGAGTGTGGTGGACAGTCACACGGTTGTTGTTGCCTGTGGGTGACAAGAACAGCATGAGTGATGGATGAACAGTGACCCCCTCCTGGTCCCCTGCTCTGTTCTGCGGTCTCTGCCACAGTGACCCCAGCTAGAAGCTCACACGTTCTTTTTGTCTCTGGAAATTTCCCGAAAGCGTCATGGGACAACGTCCTGTTTCTCTGGAGGCTGTCTTCCTTTGGGTAGCATGTTGCGGTTGTGCAAGCTCAGCAAATCCTGGATCGCAATTGCGCATTTGTTTTCAAAGGCTTCTGATGACACTGCTGGGAGCGGCAGGGGTGGGGCGCAGGGGGAGCGGGGCGGGCAGGGGCTCCTCCAGCTCTGCCTCTCATCTTCACCAACCCCCACTGAGCAGCCGCTGGCCGGGGGCAGCTGCCTTCCCGGACAGAGCGCCCCCCCCCCCCGCTCCTCTCTTTCCGTGCCGCCCAGTGGGCCGGGCGCCTGGGGACGACCCCCCCCCCCCGCTCCTCTCCTTCCGTGCCGCTCAGTGGGCCGGGCACCTGGGGACGAGGCCCCGTCCCCCCGGCCCGGTGCACACGCAGAGCCCCTGCCCCCATTAGGTGTGAGCCGGCCCGGGCGCGTGGCCGGCGTGGTGCGCATCGCGTGGCTCTGGCGCTGTTCTTAGCGGCATCGCCTCTGCCGTGTTTGCTGTTTGGCAGGAGTCCCCACGCCCGCCATAGCGTGGCTGAAGAGAGGAGGACCCCTGGGCGACAGCGCTTCCTTGCTTCCCCGCGGCTCCTTGTTGTTACGGAATGTCTCGCTTGAACATGAAGGAACCTACGTGTGCACAGCCGCCAACGCCCTGGGCCAGGCAGAGGCTACCTCTGTGCTCCACCTGCTGGGTGAGGGCTGCGTCCCGGGCCTCACGGGGGACCCGGGGCCCAGGAACGGGGGACCTGGGGCCCGGGAATGGGAGAGGGCTGCATCCCCCACAGGGGACCCGGGTCTGGGGAATGGGCGAGGGCTGCATCCCAGGCCCCACGGGGGACCCGGGTCTGGGGAATGGGAGAGGGCTGCATCCCAGGCCCCACGGGGGACCCGGGAACGGGGGACCCAGGGCCCAGGAATGTGGGACCTGGGGCCTGGGAATGGGCGAGGGCTGCATCCCAGGCCCCATGGGGGACCCGGGGCTTGGGAACGGGGGAGATGGGCAGCAGGATTTCTCCCTGGCCCGTCTGGCTCCCCATGGAAGGCAGGCGAGGATTCTTGTCCCACTTTCAGACTAGAAGTCTGGGAAGGTTCAGGGGCACGGGGCCTGGCTCTCATCCACAGGGCATGCTGGCACCACAGACCGTGGGCCCCAGCCCTCCGTCAGAGAGAATTTATTTTTCAGGAGTTGTCTTTGAAACACTCAGGCTGGAGTGAGGTGGCTGCTAATTGGTAACGTGTTACTTCTTGTTTCCTCAGAGCGAAGATGGCCAGGCAGCGATGCTGTGTCTCCTAAAGACCATCAGAAGGGAGATCCCTGGGCCTCCACACCTGGACCCAACAGCAGTGACCCGACAGGACCCCTGCCTCAAGGTCAGGGATTTGGGCGCACACGCGCGCGTGTGTGTGAGAGAGAGAGAGAAAGAGATTGATTCCCTGTTGGTAAGACCTGTTGTAAAGGGCCGTCTGAGTTCTGCCTTCTGCAGCTGTGAAATCATCCCTCAGCGTTTGGCCAGCTCCACCCATGCGCTCTGCCCTCCGTGTCTCGGCTTCCTCCTCCCACGGAGACACTTTGGGGATGCGATCTGCTTCTGAGGGCACGCACCCTGGGTGCGTCCTGATGTTGAGTCTTCACTTGAGGACTGTTGCCAATCAGCAGCGTAGGCATAGAGGAAAGGCCGGCTGTGGAAGTGCTGGAATCTTTTATTTTTATCCCTTTTGCAAAGCCTAAAACAAAACTTCCCTTAGCTGGGCCTTGATGGCTGATGCCTGTACTCAGGAGGCTGAGATGTGAGGACTGCGGTTTGAAGCCAGTCTGGGCAGGAAATCTGTGAGACTGTTCTCTGCAGTGAACCGCTGGAAATCCAGAAATGGAGCTGTAGCTCAAGGTGGCAGAGCACTAGCCTTGAGCGGAAACGCTCAGAGGCAGCCCCACAACTACTGCCACCCCTACCTCCACCACCAGAAACCCTTCCCCTACCTGTGTGCCTTTTAACCTATCAATGCTGGAGCAGCAAATCGAACCTAATGCTCCAAGCTTGCGAAACTCTTGAGAAGAGTAAGGTAGCGCCTCACACACCAGGTCCGCCAAAGCCATTCCCGGTGACCACGGCTCCTGGTAGCTCACACACAGGGAGATCCCAGACTCTGCCCTGGGGATGCCCGTTTTACTCCGTTCTGAGGGAGCACACAACAATGTCATGCTGTCCTGTTTGTTGCAGGAAGTGATCTCTACGCCCTCACCTCCTGGGTCCAAAGGCGAGCGGAGGGCAGATGGGAAGGACACTGAGCTGCCAATCAGCGTTCCATCCCCCAAGATCACATGACGGGATTCCTTGCTCGTCCTTTCGGACATAATTATCACGTGCACACATACGTGTTCACTTGATAGTCAGCCATGGTTGCTGATTAACCAATCTTTCTAGATCCGAGAAGTATAAGAATGTTACATACCTTACTTTGGTTTGTAGTTGGTAAGATCATACAATCATGAAACCTCATAAGCTGTACAGCTGAGATAGAAGCGTTTTATTATACACGAATGAGACTTCAAAAAAGACAACACACGTTTTTCATGTTTATTTCTTCAGGTCCAGGTGTGCTCCCTGGTTCTGAGCCCCCTGTCTGGAGTGTCCTGACGTTCCTCTTCTTCCTCAGAGCCTGTTTGGGAGCCTGGTCCCTGGACGCCCTGCCCCACCGCCTGCGGCCCCCCGGGCGCCCGCATTCAGAGGCCCCGGTGTGTGGGGGCCAGCGGGCAGGAAGTGAGCGAGGCCCTCTGTGCACACCGCCAGAAGCCGCGGGCAGGGTTTCAGCCCTGTGAGGCCCAGGGCTGCCCGGCCAGGTACCGAGCCTCTCCCTCCCCGCTCCCAAGTTGTGCTCACAGCCACGGGGCCTGGCCCACGCCATCTGCGCCCACACCCGGGCCTTGGTTCCACATCCCACCAAGGGGGCTGCTGCTGCCCTGCCTCATGGGTGGGCAAACGGGTGGGCGCGGGGCTTCCCGGAGCGGATGGCGGCCGACGCCGGGGCACAGGCAGACCAGTTACCCACAGCTTCCGCTTTCCCACAAGGCTTTAAATACGTAACATTAGATACACGCGATGACACCGTGGGCATAGGCCTTTTGGTACTCACTGAAGGTAGCATGAAGTAGATGTCAGACTGAGAGGCCGAGCGTGGTGGCCCTGGCTGGCCGGGCCTCGGGGGGCCTCTGCTCCTGTGCCCCATCAGCGGCGTCGACGCTGTCAATGACAAGCCCGTCGGCAGGCTCCATCCCCCACCCTCGTGACAGCACGGCCCCCAGGGTCAGGTGGAATCCAGTCTCAGCTCTGCTCACGGTTTAGTTATACGACCTCAGCCAACGTGGTTAATTTACTGCGAGCGAGTGGCTGACTCGAGCAGGCCACACAGACGCTCAGAAGTGCGTCCCTGGTTGTGTTCCGTGAACTGGATTACCACTCGCCCTCCATGGTGTCTAGCCCTGCCTCCTGGGCCGGGCAGCGACTTGAAGCACGTAGCTCTCCTGCATGGCCGCCGGCTAGCTCGGCCGCCGCCGGCAGAGGACACACAGGCACCGGTTTCTGTGCTGAGACGGGGTGGGCGGCCCCTTCTCACAAGCGACCCCGAAGGCCTGGTGGACCAGGCCTCACCGCAGTGCCGTCCTTTCTTCCCAGGTGGTTCACCAGCGCGTGGTCAGCGTGCTCGGTGCCGTGTGGCCGCGGCTTCCACAGCCGGCAGGTGACCTGCAAGAGGAGGAGAGCCGACGGCACGGTTGAGCCTGCGCCGCCCCACGAGTGTGCCTCCAGCGCCCGGCCCCGGGGGAGGAGGCCGTGTCCGAACCGCCCATGTGACCGACAGGTGCCTGCGCCAGGAAGCCAGGTCAGCCGGCGTGGGCCGGGGAAGGCCGGCACACGGGCCCCCCCACACCTGCCACGCACACGTGTCTAGAACGGGGAGGTGCAGAGGTGGCCCGGAGGAGGCTGGCGAGAGGAGCTGTGTGAGCGTGGGCAGCTGTGTGGATGACCGTGAGTTGCTGTGGCAACTCCACAGACCCTCGTGCGGTGGTGTGGGGTGGGGATTGTTTGGCACGTGAATCATAGATCAGTCAAGTGTGATCTAGATCTGGGGCGGGGCTCAGGGTAGAGGGCTCGCCTCGCCTGAGTTCCACTCCTCAGCACCACACACTCAGAAAAAAACGGAAGTGGTGCTGTGGCTCAAGCGGTAGAGCACTACCCTCGAGCCAAAGCAGCCCAGGCCCCGAGTTCAAGCCCTAGGACTGGCAATAAAACAAAAAGTGCAATCTACACAAAGAGATGGTATAGGAGTAGTTGACAAATACAAGAAAAATAAAACCAGTACCTATGCCAAAAAGAAGTTCCCACTCGACGGAAGAGCTTATTGTAAAAGTAATTGGGTGCAAGTAGCACTATCATGGTAAGAAAGGCCGTCCCAAACATGAGAACTCGGTGGGCGTGGTGAATATGTGAAAATGTGTGACCTGCTAAGGAAACGCGAGCTGGTTTTCCCGGACTGAGGACGGCGCGAAGCTCCATTGGGAGCCTTGAGCGTCTGTGGACTGCAGCCCCTGCCCGGAGCACCCCCCCATTGCCCTCCCCCCCCTGCAAGCAGGAAGCTCTGTTAGCAGCCTTGAGCGTCTGTGAACTGCAGGCCCTGCCCAGAGCACCCCCTTCCCCCCCCCCCCTTTCCCCTCCCCCCTCTCCCCTCCCCCCCTCAGTGCAAGCCCAGCTCACACTCACCTGTGCTTTCCTCCTAGTGTCCGGCACGCTGCACGGGCCGCGCCGGCCGGGGGCAGCCGCGCCGTCCTGCGTGTGGCCCGGGGCCGGACTGTGACTCCAGGAAGAGGTACGGCTGCGGGGCAGCACAGGGCGAATCCCTCCCGCCCCTGCGGCCTCCCGTGACGCGTGTCAGCGCGCTCCTCACTAGAATACGTGAGCGACTGTAAGCCCTAGCACAGGCATTTGAGTGTGAAACACGCACCCGGAAGGGGACCGGCTAGCACTGAGAAAAGACAGGTGTTTCTTTCCTCCGCGCGCGCCATCTTTGACTACTTGGAGTTCAGATCCCTTCAGCTGGGAAAAAGAGGAAACTCCCCCGAGGAAGCGGGTTTGGCCGTAGGGGCGCTCCGGGTGTGTCCGGGTCTGTTGAGGACGCGGGTTTGGCCGTAGGGGCGCTCCGGGTGTGTCCGGGTGTGTCGGTGCCGCCTGATTTCTGGTGCAAGGCTTTCTTTGTCTCTGTCCTCCCCCTCCCTCGGCCCCTCAGAAGCCTTGCGAACCGAAACCCTTTGATGGCGTCTCCCCCTGGAGGCCAGCTGTAGTACTGCGGCCACCGCATGAGCAGGACAGGTTATCACCCTGGTCTCAGTGTGTGTGAACGCTCCCTATTGGTTTACGCACGCCCACAGGGCCTGTATTTGGGCCACAACAATGCTTCGAAGAATCCGAGGGAGAATGTAATCGGCCTCTGAAGGGCTGCAAGCAGAAACAAGGGAGGTCTTTGTGTTCTGGGTTTTTGCCCTCTGTCACTCGTGTATGTCTGCGTGAATTGTTTGGTGGTGGGGAGCAGGTATGCGGCTCCTGTGCCTGTGTCAGCAGACTGCTGCGAGACACGGCTCGGGCCGCCTCGGTCATCCTCCCTGGCAGGGGCCGGGCAGAGGCCCTGTGTCCACAAAGGCGGCACTACCCTCCAGGGCGGACACCACCGCGCAAGTCAGAACACTGAATTTCCATTCTGGCTGAAAGGCCGGAGGAGCCAGAGGGAGACTCTTCTTGGAAATAAAGGGTCTGAATCCATTTTTGTAAAGGCTGGAAGTGGCCTAAACGTGAATAATGTAAATCCATCGTTCTGTGCGGATACCACGGCCCTTGCGTCCATCCCTGTTCCTACCAGCATGTGCCTCAGGGGCTTTGGCACAGAAAACCCAGGGCTTGTTAGCACACTTGAAATGGCTGCTAGTGGTCACCACAGCCCCTTCCCGGCCGGGTCGACGTGTGGCAGCTCCTGGGGACAGTCAGTGTTTGCCTTGGTCCCACCCCTGGAGCTGAAAGCAAGCAGGAACTCAGTTAGCTGGCCGCGGCGTGGTCAGAGCTCAGCGGAGAGGGCGGGCGCCCAGCGGAGGGCTGTCACCGCCGTTCTAGAGGGTGTGGCAGAAAACAGAGGTGTGGAGTGGAAACCTAGCACCTCTGCCCCCGTGGGACGTCCCGCCCTTCCCCAGGCTTTGCGGGGGTGCGGCCTGGAGGAGTGAGGCCAGGAGGGGCGTGCGTGGCTCCCTGGGGACCCCCAGGCCCCCTCACCCAGCCGTCCCCACCCCGCCTCCTCCAGTTTACCTTGGCCCCTTGGCTAAGCTTCACCCACGCTCTGTCCCGCGGTGACTCGGTCCCCTACTCCTGTGTCCCTTCCAGACAGTCCTGGAGGGGGAGCTGCGCGGCGGGGGCCTGCCTGGCCTGCTGGCTCCCCGGCCCCTGGAAGCCCTGCACGGCAGCCTGCGGCCCGGGCGTCCAGCCTCGGGAAGTCCACTGCGTCCACGCCCACACCTGCAGACCCGTGGCCGAGAGTCACTGTGCGCCGACACGCAGGCCGCCCTCCTGGAGGCCCTGCCTGGGGCCTGCCTGCGGCGGTGCGTACCAGCCCTCCCCCTCTCCCCTCCCCCCCCCGCACCCTGGGAGGGGCTGTCGTGGGTGGACGTGGCAGCCTGGCCCTCTGTGGAGGCAGCGTGGTCTGAGAGGTAGAGGCTGACTTAGTGGGGCGTGGGGTGGCTTTCCGGTGAGCTCTGGCACCCACGGGCTCCCCACCCTCTCCCTCCTGCCCTGCTGTCCCCTCCGCCAACGCGGAGCTGACCTCATGGCCTGCAGGCCAGCGGATGTCCTGAAATGGAGTGTCAGGCTTCTCGCAGGTTGCTCTCTAGGCAGCGGTGCTGTGGGGGCCTGGGGGCTGGTGGAAGCTGAGCGCTCCAGGCGGCGGCGCCAGGCCCGGGGGTGGGGAGGGCGCCCCACGCCAGCCAGCGCCTGGCTGAGGGACAAGGGAGCCCCACGCACCTCCGACTCCAGGGCGCAGCAGCAGTCGAGAGCCTGAGCCAGCGCCGGCTGGCTGCTCATGTTGTGACCTGTTTATACACTTCCAGAAAATCAACTCATTTCCTAGATTTCCAGTGACCCACGCACTGTGCTCCTCCTGTTTTTGCAGGAAACTGCACAGACACAACTCAGTACTGCCGGCTCCTGAGGCGCCTGCGTCTGCATTCTCTGGACCTCTACAAACAGAGCTGCTGCCAGTCACACCGAGAAGGCTAGGCCTCTGGTGGTGCAGCGGTGAGGCTCGGAGGGTAGGAAAGCAGTCTTCCCTCTTAGAGACGCCATGCTGAGGCCGATGTGAAACCAGCAAGGTTGAGATTGGGTGAACATTTCCCACCATCAGTTCTGAACTCAGTCCTTGTAAGTGACATGTTCCTGGATGAGTTAAAAGAAATCACGGCAGGTGTGGCCATGCATTTGGCCCCTCAGCAAGTCTGTGTGATCAGAGACTGCCAGGGGCCTAAGCAGAGCAGGGCCTGCTGCGGCCTGTGGACTGGCACAGAGTCCTCCACCCCGAGGACGGGACACACAGCGAGCGACCACTCCCTCTTCTCTTCAACACGTTTAACGGCGTTTACGTTTTAAAAGCTCTGGCCAGTCGCTTTTTGGATGTTGGCACTAGTGACATTTTTTTTCTCACAGATCCTTACATTTAGCTGTGAAGGAGAGAGGGTCTCCCGGGCAGGTGGTGTGCAGGGCATGGGGCGTCCGTGGGGGGAGACGGAGCAGCTGGGGCTGCGCGCCCCGGGCTCAGCCGTCTGTGGAAGTCAGAGAGCACACGGTAGCTTCTCCACTGGTTCTGTAGTGTGTTCAAAGCTTTCCTTTTAGCTGTGAATGGAATGTTTTTCTAAGCACTAAAACAAAGCCTTATTAGACCTAATTTATGCATAAAATAGTATTCCTGAGGATTTTTATTTTGCAAAGTATATAATAAATTAATCTAAATAGGAAACATAGTTGGAAAAACTTGTTTATAGCAAATATTTGTTTTAATTTGAGCTGATCTTTCCAGGAAATCCAAAGTGAATTAGGGTTGACTGGAAGTTATACAACTAAGAGTTAAGTTATACTTTTAGGATGGGGTTAGGCTTTAGAGCTAAAGGTTTGTTTTAGAATTGGGATTGGGGTGAGAAAGGGAGTAAAGCTAGCGCTAAGGCCAGCGTTGGCTTTAGGGGTAGGATTCGGTGGGTCTGGGTTTCGAATAGGCCGGGGCTGGTGTTGACAGAGTGAAGGGCGGAGGTACCTCTGGTCAGCTTGCTGCTGGTTCGCTTTGGGAGGCGAGTTCTGAAGCCGACGTGGTTGTGGGAACTTTGCTGGCACTCTGCCTGTCGGGACGTTAGAGGGCCCGGTCAGCAGCAGCTTCTCCTTCAGTGTCCTTGAGAGCTGTCTGTAGGCAGGCAGGCTGCCGGGGCCTTGCTCCTCATCCGTAAGACACATGCAGGGCGACTTGGCTGTGGGTTTGTCTGTATTCTGGACACAGGTCTCTTCTATTCTCACCTCAGCCGCACGGACACTGGGACAGACGCTACAGCGTGGGGAGAGCCAGTGGCTGGGGGGGGGACGGAGGGGGGGACACAGCTCAGGAGCGGGCAGTCACCCACCACAGCAGACCGATGGAGGTACTCAAAGGGAAGATCGTGTGTAAAATACTCTGTAAATATTCCTATGACTTAAAGGTGCAATATTTTATTTTGTACAATATGTAATAAAGACATGGAACCTATATTTTTATTACCAACAGCACTTCTTGCTGCATTGCTTTGCCTTTATAGCTGAGGTCCATTTGCTGGGATGCTTTTATTATCCTTCCGCGGACATTCCTGTGTACGGTGTTTGACTACTGGTTTTATGAGAGCTGTTTCTTTTCTTATGATCCTTAAGAAACGCAGCAATAAACTTCCTTTGGTTATTCCGTGGCACCTTCTAAGTGCTGGTGGCGTGCGTGTGCTTCGGGTCCCCTTGGGCACGGCCCCTCAGCCACGCCTCGCTGGCCGGCCGCAGCATCGGTGAGCTCAGCACTCTGTACCATCCTTTAGAGGGTGGGCTTCAAGGTGTAGGGGACATGCGCAGTGTTTGGCTCTAATTTCCTCCTCCCAACTGTGTGAATCTTATAGGTCATATTAAAAGAGTGTCAACTGCCGAAGAGTAGATTGAGCCCCAAATGGCTGTCTTCAACAGTGTAGAAACAGATGGGCGTTGAGGAGGTACTAATACACTTTAGTCTGTAATGTATTTATCTGTTTTTGAAGACATTTTTAGAGCAGTTTTGGCTTCACAGCAGAATTGTGTAGAAGGCAGAGGAATTTTTACAAGATGTGTAGGTAGATTGCACCTTTCTTCAATGTCTGTTTATCTCTCCATTAACTACATGCCCTACAGAGCTGTGTGTCTGTTACAAGCAATTAACCCACATCAGTGCTTTATGATGATCCAGGACCTATAGTTTTCCTGAGGATCCTCTCTCAGTGTTGCACATCCTGTGGGTCCTTTTTGTTGTTGGATATGGGGTTTGAACTCTGGGCCTGGGCGCTGTCCCTGAGCTCTTCAGCTCAAGGCGAGCACTCTAACACTTGAGCCACAGCGCCACTTCTGGTTTTCTGGTGGTTTATTGGAGACAAGAGTCTCACTTTCCTGCCCGGGCTGGCTTTGAACCGTGATCCTCAGATCTCAGGCTCCTGAGTAGCTAGGATGACAGGCGTGAGCCACTGGCGCCCAGCTCCTGTGGGTTCTTGTGGGACAAAGCAGGCTTCCCTGCTCTGATCACTCAGCCCTCTCTCCTTGTAAGTTTTGTGAAGTGTGTACAGTCAGCATCTTATCGACACCACTTGTTGCCAAGATTGTCTTTGCTCCATTATGTTGGTTTTGCTCTTTTTTCCCTGACAGGTGACTCGGTTTTGTAGATCTATTTCCAGGTGACCTATTCTGTTCCACTGACCAACCCTTTTGCTGATAGCACACTGTCTGGACGGTTGTCGCTGTCCCTCCCTTTGGGTTGTGGAGGGTTGGTGTGGACGCTGGGTGAGAGCTGCCTTTCTGGGAGGCGGCACTGAGTGGACAGGAGCTACAGTGAGGACAGGATCAAAGGCTCTGGCTGGTTGGCTGGACACTGTGCTTTGAAAGCATCTCCTCACACTGCCTCCGTCTCCTGGCTCATGAGGTTTACGTCCGTTTCTAGGCTGAATTTCAGGAAGGAAAGCTGTGAACTTGACAAGTCCGCTTTTGTGTGGGCTCCCGACCTCCCCTCCATTCTTCCTGCCATGGAAGTCCTTCTTTAATTTTAAATTAGGCTTATTTGTTAATTTGTGTAGGTCAGTTGGGTTGATAGCAAAACTTGAGGGAGACTTCCCACCAACCCCACTGGACCCACACACAAGCCGCCTCTGTCAACAGCCGCGACAGACCTGAACATCCGTAACAGAGTGACAGCCACACATTGCCACACAGAGTGCATAGCTGATGTGGGGTTCTCTGCAGCCAGTGTGTCGCTGGTCAAGCCACGCAGCCATTGTTTCTAAGTCCCAATTCCTCAACGAGACCATGCAAGGAGAACGGGTAGAAGTGGGACGCGGTGGGGATGAAGACGTCCCACTAACTTCTCTCTGAATTGTCCTCCTGTCATCAGACTCTCTCAGGTTCGTGTACTGCCTTCTGCTGTGGGGCAGACTGGTAAACGCTGTTGGTTTCCAGTGCTGTTAGAAGGCGGTGTGTTCCGGTGTCTGAAGGAGATGCGGAGGGGGAGGGGGGCTGCTGGCCGCGCACACGGCTGCCCTGAACTCAGTCCTGAGGTCACACCGGCCCTGATCTGGAAAGCTCGCGCTTCCCTCTCAGATTCAGCTCGAGGCTCATCTCCTTAGGAAGATTTATGGAATGACAGGTGAAGTGTCTCAAGCCTTATGTGCCCCTGCCCCTGCTTTCACACCTACTTAATACGGTCAGATGGCAGGACATCATAACTGTGTCTTCAGCTGTGGCACAGTGCGCCAGGAAACCCAGGGGACGTCTTGGTGAGGGTGTCCCACTGCGTTATGGAAGATGGGCCTGGGTGAGAGAGCGTGATGTTACCCAGCTGTCCATGTGATTACGTAGTAATGCTTTCTATTTAAAGACTACCTACTGAAGTATAGCTTTAACCAACATAGGAATTTATTAACATGCTTTTTTTTCTGAAGAAAACTCGATACAGAAATGATTTCATTAGTCCATTCACTTAATTATCGCCACATGGAAATATAAAATTTCATATTTGTGCTTTTCACTAATGAAAGGGCAAATTACTTTCAAATAATTAGAAATATTTAAGCAAGTATAAATTTATTCTTAAGTGTATTTTGAAATAATTCTGAAATCATAAAAGGCTAAGATTCACTTTGTGCCAAATCATATCCTTCCATTGTGCAATCACTGATTTAAACCCCCGACGACAGTTTTCTTTACTAGGAGCTTTTCAGCATTGCTACCTTCCTCCCTGGAGGGTTTCCTGCAGAGGTGGTGGGGGTGGCAGGGCCCATCCGGGCGGCCCGGGGGGTCCGCGCAGTGACAGCAGTGAGCACTCCACCCGCACCACCGCGCTCCCGCCGCCCCAGCGCCGCCTTCTCTGCGGCCAGGCGGGGTGTTTGTGAAGTGGGGGAGGCCAGGCTTCCCTCACACATCCAGACTGCTCATAAGCTCCGAGCAAACTGCCAACGGGGTCACCTCTCAGTCCCTGCTGCAGGCTAGGAAATGACTGACGATCCCAGGCTGAAACGGCAGACGCAGCTGACGCACTGCCAGCCCTTTCACTTGATGGATGAAGACGTCGAGGTGAGTCTGTGAGGTGGGCCGAGGATAGTCTGCTTTTACACGTGAGGCACAGCTCAGAGACAGGACCACGGGACTCAGGTAATGGATGAGAACGTGAGCTCGAGTCCTGACCCCGGCTCTCGAGAGCCGAGCCCTGCCACACCACAAAGCCTGTGTGACTTGAGGAGCAGTGCGTGCACTGGCAGCGACAACCTTGGCTTGGCGGGCTCTGGGCCAGCCTTGAAGCCAGAGGAGAGGGAATCCTGTTTTCTTGGAAGAGGAATCCTCTTTCAGTGTCGCTCGCTGTTGTCTTGTGTGAGTGGCTGTGTGGGTCAGTGGGAAGGGACGGTAGCCGCCCTGCAGCAGCAGTGGCTATGGGCTGTGAGCACAGCCATGGACTGCGCTCACCCCCCCGCAGGAATTCTGGGGAGGGCCATCTTGGCTGAGACAGGAGTTCATGTGGATTTTCAGGATTCTGATTTCCTATCGTACATTTCCCAGTTGGTTTAAACATCTCAAAGTGGCTTGTTGTGCCTCTCATAGTATCTTCTACACTATAAAAACTGGGCCCTGGGCCTCTCTAAGTGGACCCGTCTTCCCTACCCGGTGACCTTGCGGAAGAGCCGGTGACCTTGGGAGTTTGTGGTTTCAAACTTGTAGCCACTGGGAAAAGGGCCGCTGGCGGGGCAGACTTTGCGCTGCTTTGGGGTGAAGTCCGCCGAGTAGACGGTGGAGCCCTGGAAGGGGCTGGGGCCCCGCCGCGCTGCCCCCATGGGCCTGTGGCCACAGCGAGCCTCCTCCGGGGGCCCGGGCAGCCCCTTCCTCCTGGCCGACCTGACTGCCAGCGGATGGGGCACGAAGTCATCCTGGAACGTGGTTGCGTTCCCAAACCTCACTGTCGGGGGATGGTAGGTGTGCTCCTGCTTGCAGAGTTCACGATTCTGAAGGTTCCAAGGTCTATAGTCATCTTGAAAAACAAAGCAAACAACAAAGCACCTTTACATCTTCTAAGAACCATGTCGGTTCCTTGTCAAGCATCTCACTTCCCCTGGAAATCTAAACTCGAGCATCGGCACAGAATTTCCCATCTCCCTTTGCATTTGTTCCTTTTCCCCTTCATCTCCACCTGCCTCTGCCCCTTCACCCACTTCTGCGCAGTAACCCCAGCTCCAGCTTCTCTGACTACACAGACTGTGGGTAGTTAGTGGAAGCCGCGTTCGGGTGGGACAGTGCAGGGAATTAGTCTCATCTCCACAAACTGGCTAGGATTTTAAGCATAACTCATAAAATGATGAGGGGAGCCTGGACATCCTGGGCTTAAAATAAAAACGTGTTCCCTGACGTGGATGACGTATTAGAACATGGGCTGAGGTCCGTGTGGTGTCTACTGGAGTAGAGTCTTCTTCTAAAAAGAAAAGTCCCTCATCCTTGGTGTTTCCACCAGGAGCTGGGTGATGGGCTAAGGTGCGGGCACTTGGGAGAGGACGCACGAGCCAGGGTAGAGCCTGAGGATTACCAGTGATACCAGGCAGGCCGGCAAGGACGGATGGCGGGGAGCCAGGTGGAAGAAGAGGCTAGCGATGCTGTGGCCGAGCTGGAGAGCTCACAGAGGTGCACAGAGGGTGCGCTCCAGGCAGACCGGAAGGAGGCCCAGCGGGCAGAGGGGCCACTTGGCAGAGTGGCCATCGGAGGGTGCCAAAAGAGTACCCGGAAGTCAGGTACCCAGTGGAGAAGAGGCAGCCCCTCCCTCCTGCTCCCTCCCCCCCCCTGTTCCCCTTCCAACCCCCCCCCCCCTCCGCTGGCATCCTTTTCCCAGGGAGCTTTTCTGCTCTTTACAGATAGGAAAACCGTGACACCACTTTGAGAGGGAGTCAGGGATGTTATTGAAGGCCCTTGCTCATAAAGCGGCTCGCAGGAAACAGTGTTCTGTGAGCGAACAGAATGTTTTCCCCTGACCACGCCAACTGTGATTTAAAGGAAGCCCCACAAAGCCGGGACGGGCAGACAGCACTTGTTAGTAAGGGCTTCTGTCTTGTCAGCTGGTTTCCTTCCGTTTCTTTAGTGGTTGCCGGTTTCTTCTGGACTGGCCAGGTAGGAGAGGCTGAGGCTTTGAGTCATAGTCTGTGTCTCAACCCTCGGAAGCCACAGGTGAGGCATAAAGGGGCAGCCGCGTGCAAGACTTCATTCAGGAAGAGGCGCTGGACTCAGTCCGCAGGACACGGCCTGCTTTCCCTCTTTAGCGGTCTTTGTCAGTCCTCGTCTACCTTCAGATGCCTCAGTGCTTCTCTGGAGGAGGTGAGACAGAGGCTGCTGCTCTTTCTGGGATAGTACAAGTTAACCCAGGTCTTTTGGTCCTGTAGGCTTCCAATATTTTAGGCAATTTTGTTGTCCTGCCACTGACCCTCAGCGTTTTTCTAGTATGCATACTAGGCCTTGAACTCAGTGCTTCAAGCTCTTACTCAGCAGCTGGCACCTTACTACGTGAGCCACACCTCCACTTCTGTGTTTTTGCTGGCTGGACATAGGAATTTCATGGATTTTCCTTCCAGGACTGGCTTTGAATCAACATCTTCAAATCTCGGACTCTGGAGTCACTAGGATTTACAGACGTGAGCCACCAGCGGAAGGCCCCTGGAAGCAGCGAGGCACCAGTGTGTGGGTTCCTTATAGTGATTCTTTTAGTTCCTCCGGCTGCTTTAAGGATTTTGTCATCCTTTCCTTCCCAAGTGACATTTTCTTCTTCTTACCAATTTATTCTGCTTTAGCTCTCTAACCTTCCTGGACCTGAACTCTGATGTCATTCGCTGGTTTTGGAAAATTCCTTCTACGAGGTCTTCAGACAATGCTGCAAATGTGTTCACATTTGGCTCATTTAAAAGTGTCTCTGCTTCAGGTGCTCAAAACCTGCATTTTCTCTCCTTGTGTTCTGCTTTAGGTAAGTGCATTGATATGTCCCAAGTCCAGATTCCCCACCAGACCGTGTGGTCCATTGGTGACTCAATCCTCCCTCCCTCCCTTTCTCTCACACATCACTGAGAATTGAATCGAGGACTCGTCTTGGGTCTACCTGTGTCGCACAGTGCTTTCCACACAGGGTCTTTAGCTAAGTTAGCCAGCGCTATCTTTGAACCACTGTCCTACCTCCATCTGCCAAGCAGTTGGGATTTTAGGCATGTATCACAACTGGCCATGAAAGGCATTCGTCTTCATTTTGATTGTATCTTTTTTTGGGGGGGATATCTGGTCGTGGGGCCTGAACTCTGGGCCTGGGCGCTGTCCCTCAGCTCTTCAGCTCAAGGCTAGCGCTCTACCACTTGAGCCACAGCGCCACTTCAGGCTTTTTTTCCTTACTTATGTGGTGCTGAGGAATCGAACCCAGGGCCTTATGCATGCAAGGCAAGCGCTCTACCACTGAGCCACCTTCCCAGCCCGATTATATCTTTTTTTTTTTTAACTCTAGCTATTTCCATTTCGCTTTTATAGTTTCCATCTGTTAAAACTTTCCATCTGTCCATTAAGTTTTCCACCTTTTCCATGACAACTTTTAATATTAGTCATGGTTTTTAACCAGATCCAGTATCTGGGCCACTCATCAACCAGTTATCTGTCTCTTGGCAGTCCTTCTACTTCCTTCTTCTTTGTATAATTATCATTTGAAAGCTAGGCATCATGGGTAGCACAGATAATGATATGTACACACAGGTCTCCAGTGATTGGCAGCTGCGTTGGTCCAATTATGGTAGGCTGTCTGGGGTTTGCTGTTGCTATGGCGCCTTCCACCTCTTTCCTTTGGCCATGCCTTGTGCTCGCTGGAGACTGGTCTGCTGGAGGGGTTTCTTGGTGCCTGCTCTAGACTCCTCTCCAGGCTTTCTCTTTACACCCCCACTCAGAGACCACCCCTCTTCCTGAGAGCACACAGCAAGTGCTTGTTAGGTGGTGCTGTGTGGCGTGAGGCTTGGTGTGCGTGTTGGGTAACCGCATTGGCCCAGCTTCAGTCTGGGGCCCCAGAGGCAGCGCTTTCCCAGTGCTTGGTCTCTTCTCTTGATTGGCAGGTATCAGCAGATACTCAGAGTCAGCCATGGCTAGTTCCAGGCCAACCTCCTGTTCCTTTGGCTCATTTTTCTTCTCCCTGAGCTATAAGTCAGTTTCTCACTGGGGATGACAGATCACTGCTTCTACTTCAGTGGATTACTGCTTCATTCTGAAGCTTGTCTTTTGTAGAATACCGACCATGCCCTCCTCCAAGCCTCTACAGCAGCAGCAGCTCTCTGATCTCCTCCCTTTCTGGGGAGCTCGCGTGCTACACGTGAGTGCACCTGGATCTCAGCAGCCAAGTGCCACACGCCCAATCGTTCTCCACAGTGTGTCCCTTTACCACACACAGCTTTAAACTCAGGCAGCACGCTGGAGAGTTTATAAACCACAGTGCAGAGTGCTGGGCTGGCACATGCAGAAGTTAAAGGCTGTGCTTGTAGCTATTGTATAATTAAAGCATGCGTCATGACTCTGGTTGGCAAGGGCACCACTCTCACAAAAAGGTTTGATGCTAGGACCCTTAATATCAGGACGTTTCTTTCAGAGATGCAATTACATTGTCTATAAACAAAAATATAGAATAGTATCTATTATCAAAATAGCCTGGTTTTTAAACGAAGACCTCAATCTCCCACAAGCAATCATCAGATAGGTTCTTTGTAGAACCTGGTCGTTCACTGTCAGATGCTATTCCTCCAAGCCAGTTAGCAGCGGAAAAGTAACCCATGCTGTCTGTGCTGGAGTCTTCTACGGTTAGCAAGCACCGTCGCTTCAGGATGGGTAAACATTCCCAGACTCTGTCTCAAGAATCATCTGCTTAAAGATGGACGCTTCCCTCCACGCTGCTCTTCATCTATGAACAAGTAAGGTTTTGTTTCCTGTCTCCTAACTATATAGATTGGGTTGGAACTCGAAGAATTGCTACTCATTTAACCTTTTCAAAGACTTCAAAATCTCAGTGTCAACCCATGCTAGGATGGGAAGAAAGTGACTAAGCTGACACGGTCAAGGCCTCATCAGTGCAGCTCACCGGATGAGAGAAGAGCCTGGCCTCTTAACCGTTCTACCCGGGATGGCGCTTGGTTGGTTGATTTGGGATTTTGCTATACAACACCACTTTGACCAAAGAGAGGAAAGAATTTTCCTACACTATGGTGGCTAAGCAGGGCAACTCACCAAAATCACCGTTTGCTCTTAAACCTCTAAGTTCTAGGACTTTGGCGCCATTTTGAAATGGAAAGTTACCTTTATAGGTTGGGACAGTATCCAACTTTCCCTTTTTAAGTTGTTTTCTTTCCAAAGGCCGGACTATTACCACAGGCTGCACTGTGTGAGAATTAAAATCTCGTTTGTAGGTAGTACCAAAATCAATCTTCCCCTGCTTCGGCTTATATTCTTCTCGGATGTGGCGAGGTGGCTGGATCACTTCGTAAGGGCGGTAGTCTGACCTGCAATATTTACACATTTGGAACATGGCCTCACAAGTTCTTTTATTTCAGTGATTTTGGTACTGAAAATTTCAAAGGCTTTTCTTACCTTAGAAGTCTAAGATAGTAAAATGATCATACTTGATAATTTGAAAGAAGAAATTAAATTTGTTTATACCTATCTAGTGAACTTTCCAGAGCACTGAAACAGAACCAGCTAATTGGATGCTAAGTAAATGGAATTCTAAAGCTCCTGAATTTTTTTCTAGCATATAAGGAAACTTCCAGTGAACAGTTTAATGAACCTGCAAAGTTATGCTCTCCTTGGTCAAAACCCTTGTTTATGGTTCCTAAGACAACTCAGCATACTCTCTGGGTGCTCCCGGTAGAATGTCTGAGACTCTGGCCTTCTGCACTCGGCTCTCACAGACACATAATCCAACCTGGTCTTATATAGCACCCTGGGCCCAAGGGAGATGGCAGACCTTCAGAGGGTCGGGGAGACATTGCAGGGACGCAGACAAAACCAAACACGGCCAGAGCCTGGCCTGGGCCCCGTCACCAGCCTCGGTTCTCGGGGCTTCCTCTGCTCTGGCTGCCCTCCTCTGAGGACTCCCAGTGCTCTGTGCTCCTTCCTGCTACACACTACGCTTCTGGAATGTGCCTCCACCTCCGCAGTCCAGCTCACTGCTCAATCCCTTCAGGGGTTAGCTCATTTCTCTCATCTTGATAAAGTTGAGCCCATGACATGTCAGAAGACAGAAAACAGATCAGAGATGCAAAGAGCAGAGGAGACGCAGACATAGCAATTCAGGAACTCCCACAATCCTTCAGGTGTTGGTGACATTAGAAAGTACACAAAGAAGAGATATTTTAGGAGGTTAAAAAATCAATACAAAATTTTCCTCCCTTCTGTTTTTGGCAGCTTGACTTAATTGTCATTTTTTTCCCCCTCAAGTTGTGATTTAACTAGTTTCTTGCTTCTTGGATTGTTTCATCTTAAATCAACTAAATAGCTAAATTTAAATAGTAAGAAAACTTTATTAAGACCCGAGAGTTGAGAGAAAAGTAAAGCAAAATCGTTGCTCAATATTTACTTAAATGTAGTTACTCCTTCCATTTTAGCACGGTATGCTTGAAATTGTTGCTTGGGTTTAAGACTTGGAGGAGGCAGAACATTGCCATATGTAGGGAACTTTTCCAGATACTCGGTTGTGGGGTGAAATACGCCAGCACTGTCATAAATCCTTGTGGCTCCTTGTGGACAACGATGCTGCCTGTGCAAACAAACACACTGAAAGATTGTTCTGCTTTACCCAACGTTTCACGCGGTCGCTGCATTTTACCCAGAGTACTCCAAAGAACTCAGAATTTCTAGAAAACAAAAGAAAACCCACAGCCATGCATAGAAAAATAACACACACTGTGGTGTATTCTCACATTTGAGCTACACAAAGCTGAGCTGCTATCAGGTGAAGCTCCTGAAGATGCTTCACTCTTGCACATGCTCAGGCTGGGAACTGCGGGAGCGTGGCAGGCTGGCGTGTGTTTTGTTTGCGAGGGTGTGGTGGAGGCAGAGAGCGGCAGCTGGCAGCCGTTGGGCAACACCCTGGCTTACAGGGCCAGTCTCTGACTCAGCAGCTTATGACTGTGGCTGACACCGTGCTCCTGGGCCTGCCTTTACCTCTGACTGTGCAACCCAGTCCTAGAAGCTTATTTTGAATTTTTTTTTTTTTTTGGGTGGGTTGCAGGCCTGAACTCTTGGCCTGGGCGCTGTCCCTCAGCTCTTCAGCTCAAGGCTAGCACTTGAGCCAGAGCGCCACTTCCAAGCCTTTTCTGCTTAGGTGGTACTGAGGAATCGAACCCAGGGCCTCATGCATGCAAGGCAAGCACTCTACCACTGAGCCCCTGAAAATGGTCTATTTTTAGTTCTTTCTAATGAGTGACATAGTTTGTTAAACTAACCAGAGTACATTAGATTGTTCATCACAAAGAACCCTGACTGAGTCAGCCATGTGGTATCATACATGTGACATTTCCATCAAGGACAAACCACATACATGATGACAGTCCCATGAGATCTGATCACCTAGTGACATCTTAGCCACTCTAGTTACTGTAAGTTCATTCTGTGGTACCCACGTGACTACAGTACCTAACACACTTCTCAGAACCATAAGCGCAGCATGGCTGGATAGCAACTAAGCAGTAGTATTCAGTTTTTAAGACAGCTGTTGAGAAAACATTTTCAAAGTGGGTTGTAGGTGCCAAAGGGGTGGGGTGAGTGGTGCCCCGTACCAGTAGCTCGTAACTGGTCAAAGGTGAGACGGAAAGCAGCAGAGGCACCCCCTGGAAGACACTGAGCTTCAGTGGGGGGCATTTTGGAAGACATTTTTACTTTGTTCAAAGCCCATCAAGAAACGCCTCTTTCACTGCCAGTGGCTCAGCTTTTTGCATTTCACACTGCCTGAAAAAAAGATGTCTCTCCCCTCCCTTGCCCCAAAACATAGTAAAGACATTTCCTGATGGCTGTCTGGGAAAGGAACTTAGGTTGATACACATTAAAGTTAGGAGAAATTAAAATGTCTTCTTGCACACCAGAGTTCTTGGGTTCACACCTCAAAAGTAAGCATCTTCTCACCGGCTATCGTGCTGTGCATTCCCTTTGAAGAGGACTGCCAACGGGAAGGGCTGGGCTTGCTCATCTTTACTAAGCACATAGTGGCCTAATCCCTGGGTCAACAGAGTAGCTCAGGACGAGAAGCCTGTCTATAGGTGTGGGGGTTGTTGGCAGAACTTTACAATCCTGGGTTTCTGCCAGGCCGGCCGCAGGAGGCACTGTGCCCAGTGGGAGAAGGGAGGGCAGTCACATCTGGTCCCACCTAGAGGATGGGGAGCTGCAGAGGAGCTGTGCCCGGGCTGAGGACCAGAGGCTTCGCACACACACACACGCAGGCCGCAGACAGGGGCCTCGCACGCACACAGGCTGCAGACAGGGCCTCGCACGCACACAGGCCGCAGACTAGGGGCCTCGCACACATGCAGGCCGCAGACTAGGGGCCTCGCACGCACACAGGCTGCAGACTAGGGGCCTCGCACACACACAGGCCGCAGACTAAGGCCTCGCACACACGCAGGCCACATGCCAGGGCCTCGCATGCACACAGGCTGCAGACTAGGGGCCTCGCACGCACACAGGCCGCAGACTGGGGCCTCGCACGCACACAGGCCGCAGACTGGGGCCTCGCACGCACACAGGCCGCAGACTAGGGGCCTCGCACACATGCAGGCTGCAGACAGGGGCCTCGCACACACGCAGGCCGCAGACTAGGGGCCTCGCACACACACAGGCCGCAGACTAGGGCCTCGCACACACGCAGGCCGCAGACTAGGGGCCTCGCATGCACACAGGCCGCAGACTAGGGCCTCGCACACATGCAGGCCGCAGACTAGGGGCCTCGCACGCACACAGGCCGCAGACTAGGGGCCTCGCACGTACACAGGCTGCACACCGGACCTCGCACGCACGCAGGCCACAGACTAGGGGCCTCGCACGCACGCAGGCCGCAGACTAGGGGCCTCGCACGCACACAGGCTGCAGACTAGGGGCCTCGCACGCACACAGGCTGCAGACTAGGGGCCTCGCACACACACAGGCCGCAGACTAGGGGCCTCGCACGCACACAGGCTGCAGACAGGGGCTCACACGCACGCAGGCCGCAGACTAGGGGCCTCGCACGCACACAGGCCGCACACCGGACCTCGCACGCACGCAGGCCGCAGACTAGGGGCCTCGCACGCACGCAGGCCGCAGACTAGGGGCCTCGCACGCACGCAGGCCGCACACCGGGGCTCGCACGCACACAGGCCGCACACCGGGGCTCGCACGCACGCAGGCCGCAGACTAGGGGCCTCGCACGCACGCAGGCCGCAGACGTCCTGCACCGCCACCGTCCCTTCGCGGGGCACGCGTCCTCACCCGCAGTTACAGATCTGACACAGGCACCGCACGCTCATGGCCTCCGCTCGCCGCGG